CATCCATCCATCCATCCATCCATCCATCCATCCACCCACCCATCCATCCATCCATCCATCCATCCATCCATCCTCATTCTGTTCATCCATCATCCATCCTTTCAGGTTCTCCTGCTGATGTTCTCCAGGAGGCTCAGCTTCCTCTGATCAACCAGGATCAGTGCCAGGAGTTCCTGCCTGAGTACAACATCACCTCCAGCATGCTCTGTGCAGGATACCCTGAGGGTGGAGTTGATAGCTGTCAGGTAACACCTCACTTGCTCTCACTAGGATCCTGGAGCTGTTCAAGAATAACCAGAATAAAGTAAACCAGTTCAGGAGTGGATCTAACATCTCCTGACTGATGGTTCACCTGAAGCTGGTCAGAGCTGACTGCTGATTGCTCTGTTTGTAGGGAGACTCTGGGGGTCCTCTGATGTGTGTTGAGGATGGCCACTGGACTGTGATTGGTTAGTTTCACTTTCACACACACATCCTCCTATTATTAAAGCTAGAGTGATGAAAACAAGCTTATGAACACCTTGCGTTTTTAAAAGTTCTCCCATCTAAAAATCGTTGATGGCTCCGACATTTTCATGTTGGAGCCACCTGACATTATAATCTGACATTTTAAGGACTACAATGAAAATAAAGGTCAAGCTCCAACATATTTAAACAAAAGGTGTTGGTGGCAGGAGCACAGCTGAAATTTCTCTCCAGTGTGGTGTCACAGCCTAACAGATCAATTTAATCCCATCCGAATAAAATGACTGACTAAGCAGGTCTTTTTCAAAGACTCTGGTCCAAAGACCATAACTTCTATTGTGTCTGCATTCAGAAGCAGAAAGCTATGAGTCATCCACGTTTTTATGTCTATAGACATGCCTGTATAGTATGTACTGGAATGGCTTCATCTGGATTTATACACAGATATATAGCTGAGTATCATCCCAACAAATTGGGAGCATATATATAAATGAAAGAGAACTAGTCCTAGCACTGATCCCTGTGGTACTCCAAAGGTAACCCTGGAGCATGAATACAATTTATTATTAATGTGAACAAATGGAAATTGGTCAGATAGATATGATTTAAACCAGTCTAGTGATGTTCCTTTAATTCCTTCGAAGTATTCAAGCCTTTCTAAAAGAAAAGAATATTATGATCAACTGTATCAAGTGCAGCACTGAGATAAAACAGGACAAGTGCAGATACAAGTCTATTATCTAAGGCAATGAGAATATCATTAGTAACTTTCATTAGAGCTGTTTTAGTGTTTCCTCCATGCAGTAAATGTAGACAATCTGTTTATGGACAGGGAAAGCCATTAACAACAGATAGGTAACCCTAAACTTCAGATTTTAAACGTCCAAATCAGGAAATCAGTAAAAGTGGAATTGATTTAATGAGTTCTTTATACAAGAGCAACTGTGCTGCTCATGATGGCCATCAAGTGAACTTAACTATTTTAGAATTCTTTGCATCATGCAGAAAATTATTTGTTTGCAATTAAATATTTAAAAATAATTCTGGGGAAAACATAAAAAAGAATAATTGTATTTAAATTATCTCCTCTGACTGGTTCCTGGCAGGTGTGACCTCCTTTGGGGTTGGCTGTGCACGCCCTCAGAAACCTGGAGGCTACGCACGAGTCTCAGCCTTCGTCTCTTGGATAGCTCAGACCAGACGTTCCTCCTATTCCTCTCCATAACTGATCTGGAACTCTTTATTGATGGATGAAATGTTAACCAGAACAATAAAGTTTGATGTAATCTTCTATATGTGGAAAAAAATGCAATTTCAATAAACTGTTTTGATCCCCAGATGTGTTCAGTGTTCTGATTTTTGACCGGATCCAAACGCTGCTCAATGTTTGAGGTTAAACCTGACCCAAAGCAGCTGGCTGAAGCTGAGAGGATGAGATGCTCCTTAGAGTGCAGGAATCTGCTAATTCACCGTCTCTATGGAGACCCAGTTCAGTCTATTTCTAAAGCACCAAGACAGAACCTGTCAACTCATGTAAATACACTTTATATGTGAAGCTCTTTTCACAGACACAGAGTCACAGATAGCTGCATAGTGATATAAACCTAAGAGCAAAACATCAGAACATAGTCAAGTATAAAACATAAAAATTATTAAAACGTATGTTGAATTAAAGTAATACTTTAAGTGACCAAATTCAATGAGTTTGGACAACAATGCTTGTCTAAACCAAAAGCTTTTAGGGAGCAGAGCTCTAGAAGAGAACAGTTCAGAAAATGGAGGATTCAAAGTGCTTAACACAAGAAAAAATGGAAGAAAAATAAAAGCAGAGTAAAAGAATACGCTCCCCAGTTTAAAACAGATTATGGAACCATTAACAGGGTAATCTTCTGTAAACGGAAAAACTCTCCAGTGCGCCATGGTTTTACCTTAACTTGGTCGGATAATGTTGCTCTTCATGATTTATTGAGCTTTTCATCCTATTAATCATAAAAAGCATTTCTACAGATTTAAAAATGACACTATCTAAAAGAGAATCAGAGAAGACAAGAAACATTAAAAATGTGTTCATTATGCCTGAAGTTTAGGTGGATGCTGACCCCTCCATTCATTGGTCAGTTTTGGTAGCCCCTTCTGGTGATTCAGGAACAATGAAGCAACTCTAAGCCTTAAAAAGGTCAGTGACCCCTGCAGTACAACAGGGGGGTCCGCAAAGTCCAAAAAATACTGAGGTCAAGAGTCAGAACTTCTAGGCGGGTAAGGCGGCATGCTCCCCAGAGACATTTTAATTCCATTATTTAAATCATGCCATTTTCAGTCTTAAGGAGCAGAAATTAACATGATTCTGACTTTGGAATAGGCTAGGCCAGTGGTTCCAAAAGATTTTCTTCTGGGCCCCCCTTTGGATTACATTTACGTTTCTCTCTTCTTATCAGGGAGGGCGGTGCCCCAGCGCCCCCTATGGGCCGGCCGCCACTGCCCAAAACTAATAGGTTTGCGGTGATTTAATGAATTTAGCGTTAATCAGTAAAAAAATAAAAACAATATTTTTTGTCGTGATTACCGACTCCAGGTGTAGCCATTTTTGCCCAAATTTAATAACACCTCACTCCTGACATCTTCCAGCAGAGATGTCATAGTGCTGTAAGCCTAGTGCCATTCCCCCGTTTTACAAGCAAAATCAATGAGCTACTAGACACATCTGCAATCACCAAAAATTTTTTTGGATTTCCAGAGGACTTTGAGAGGAGTTCAGGACGAGAGGACACCATTGAAATTCACGAGAGCTAAACTTAAACCGACAATGCCCACGTGCATGACAGCTGGATGTTGTAATACATTGGGTAAAAGTAAAAAAAACAATTTATTTCACCTTTCTGATTCATGATCCACCACGGGTTCATCTTTGGATTGCCAACTTGAGGGGGGATTTGCCATCGAACTTCTGGCCAGAGAAAAAACACGTCATTAATCCGTTACTCTCTCCTTCGCATAGTGCACTGGTCGTCACCATCATGGATAATAGCGCGTTGTAACCAACACCAGATACAGCACTGGGACTTGCTCAACAGCCGATACCGCACCGTGACGTCACAAACCAGTAGGTGGCAGTAGAGCTCTTTGGGAACATGGATGTCTCCGGTAAAGCACATTCAAATGAAAATGACTGTTAATTAAAAACACTTATCCTTCATCGAAAAATATGTAATAATTTCATACTTAAAGCACTTTATGAATTTAGTATTCTGAATGTGACCAGATTTTCCTTTAAACATCTGGCTTTTAAAACATAGGGCTCAGGCACAGTATCTTCCTTTTCTTGTTCCTTCTCTCCCTCTTTCTCTCTCCTCACTGCTCCTCTTGCTGCTTCACCCAAAGAAAAGCTCAGTTTGGCTTTTCCTCCCTATTCTGTTTTCCCTTTAGTGGAGAATATATCAACACAGTCAAATGCTAAAATGATACAAATGAAGATAATGTGCATTCAACACATGTTGACATGAAATGAAATTAGTTTACCTTGCCTGAGATCAGCCCAATGTCAAAGAATGTTAGAGTAAAACTAGCTAAATATTAAATAAAGAGGATCAAATATGCAAACTTAAACAACTATATATAATAAATAAATATAGTCAACAACATTAGATAAAAATGGGACGTTCTGAGCCTTTTAGAAGGATCATGGTGACTCTTGAAGGCAAGTTACCACAGAAAATTATCATTATTGTTTTGAAAATGAACTGGATGTTTTATTTTGTTTCTGTGCATGACTTCCTGTCCCACACGATCTGCTCTGTGACTTCTCGCTGCATTGTGCTCCATCGTCCAGCAGAAATATTTGATTTTCAGCCAAAGACATTGCTAACATATCAATTGCATAATGAATGGAAATGAATCTGATGGAAATTGAGTGACGACCATTAATGACAGAGTTAAATAAACTTTGGCTCATTGTTTCCTTGCTGTCTGAGTCGCTCGCTGGGCAGAAATCGACATTTTTTTCTCATGAAAACATGTGTTTTACTCACAGTCATCTACAATACGGTACAGTGGCAAGATTGATGAAATCCAACCCGAGGACATTTCCAGTTCAATGATAAATGGAAACACATCAGAGCAAGATTAGAATTAGGAAAATGGGACAAAAAATGTTTAATTTATTTCTAGATATTCATTAATATTTAAAAAACAAAAAGTGTAAAACCAGGAATACCTCTCCACATCGTTAGTATTTCCTGTGATTAATAAAATGAATATATTGATAGTGTTATTAAAGGAAAAGTTTGCTTTAGTCTTCTAAGTAGATTTTTCAGGGTTCCTATTTTCCTCCTCTCCCTCTCAGTCTTCTTTATTTCAGGGTTCCTATCTTCTTTTTCCTCTCTCCTCTTCTATAAATCTAACACTCTTCTAAAACTGAGACATACTATAATCACAATCCCTTCTAAAAACACTACAATATATGAAATTAAATTTTACAATTCAATAGTTAATACAAGTTTTGTTCCACCACAGTTAGTTAGCTTATTCCCTATGATGGTGGATTCAGTCATTATTAATAAAAGTATCAATTCTGTGTGAATGTAAAAAAGTCTCAGTACAATCAGACATTTTTTAGACATGGAATTTACAACACTGAATTTTTAACCTGTGCAATTATGTATTTGTTTAATTTACTTTAAATTAATCAGCATGTATTTAAATATTCACCCAGATTATTACAGAAATCTGCTGCAAAAATTCACCAGCCAAAATTCAGATGGTCAAATATGTTGACCTTTTGATGACTCGAGCCAAAGCAGATAGAGTCAAGCGGAGTCTAGCTCTACCCAACATCTTGGTGTTCCCAAATTACAACAAATTATTTCAATCTTCCCATTCCTCCAAAATCCAAGGAAGTCCACTTTAAAATCTTTACAGGTGTTTACTCCTCGAGGGAATTTCTTAGACTTCGATTTGCTATTGATGATAACGCTTGTTTATTTTGTGACGGTGATATTGAATCGACTGACATCTTTTCTATGAATGTGTGCATTGCAAAGCTTTGTGGGATGATGTGCACTACCGGTTTTCAACCCAAATTCCAAACTTAGTTGAATTCTCTGAGAAATACATTATTTTTGGGACTCTGAGAAAATAAAATAAATTTGAAAGATTACTAAATGTTGATGATCATCATGGGCAAGTTTTTCATTCATATTTGGGTCCGGTGTATCCTTTCTATCCTTGGATATCCCAGGATTCATTGCGAGACCAAGCAGGCCGGCTGCTCCGTGATCAGAGGAAATGGTGCTTGGTGCCGAACAGTGGTGAATATTGGAAGTTCAGTTTAAATTAATCCAACTCTGTAAATAGTTCTGCCTGAAATTAATGAAATCGTTCTTTTAATGGGTATTGAGTCAGATAAATGGTGGTAATGTTTGATTTATCTAAGGGTTTTTATCTGTTACTGTGTAAATTGGTTTGGCTGTAATTTAAGGACAGATTCTAATATATCTGCAGTGTGGGGACTATAAATCTGATAGGATTTTTTATTTTTTTTATTGCTGTTTTGCACAATTTGCTTAACTATTTTTTTGTTGAATATCAGAGATTTTGCAGATATTTATTTTTTACATACATTGTTTAGATTTACTTATATCTTTCTACCCCTTTTATAGAATAGAATAGAAAATCTCTTTATTATCCCACAATGGGCAAATTTACAGCAGCAGAAAGATAATTGAAAATGGTCACACAAATGTGGACCTTAGAAAAATTTATATTAACATAATAGGGAAAAGTTAAAATATGAACAATAAAATACTGTAAAGTTTTTTAACAGTATAAAACTGTTCACCTGGAGAATAAATAACCAATACACAGCTATGGACATTTTTACATTAATGGATATTTGAAAATAGCAGCAAAATCAGAGATGTGCAAAATGACAGCAAAACTTTATTTAACTGACTAAGGTTTCTATCATTTAATTTCCTTTTATTTGTTCCTGGTTGGCACCTTTATTCCACTCTGGATTCTAATGAGTGTAGCCTTTTTTCACTTTACAATAAAAAAAGAAGTTCGGCATTCATTCTCTTCCTGCTTTGTGTGTAGACAGAGCATAAGGCGGTAAAAGCCACCGAAGGGTAGACCTGTTTGAAATAACAGCCAAAACTCTTCTGGTCTCCTTATTTTCACAGACTTCAAAGGATCCAGTAGCAGAGGCATAGCCAGAACATGTTTATAAGGGTGGCCAGACAATAAGCAATGTACACTGAGGGGTGGCCGAAAGTGGATAGGCGCCAGAACCTCTGGGTCAATCTACATTGTTCCAACAGGAAAATTAATGAGCACAACGTCCATATTTTCTAAATAAAGACAAAATATCCTTTCCTAAAGCCTTTACTAAAAAAAAGATGCATATATTTAAATATTTACCTACATAAAATGTATACTGGATACAATTCTTTCAGGTTTGAGTTCTGGGTCGATCATCTTTTCCATTGTCATTTGTTACTTTTATCAATAATCATTCTGCAAAAAAAAAAAAAAAACATATTTACAAGTACTAATATCTACATAAATTGATTATTTTAATACCTTTTTATTAAAATAGCTAACTATGATTTCACATAATACTCCTATATGACTTGCAAAGAGAAATCATTTTCTCTTTACCCCATATAACACAAAATGTAATTCTGAAAAAGCATTAATTCTTTACTTATCATCTTGTTAAAACATGTCAAATAAATGTTTATATAAAAATTTTAATGTTTTGAATATTCCACTTGAGGGTGGGTGGCAAATGATGGGTGGCCACCCCCTGGCCCCCCATCTAGCTCCGCCCCTGTCCAGGTAGACCGGGTTCTTGGAAGACACCGCTATGAATTCGAACACAGCCTTATTCAACGGCTTCACCACGATCATGTGACCGGGTGAACCGCACATGAAGGGGTAAAAGGAAATGAAAAGGCAGACTAATTAGCAAAAAGGGCTTTAGAGGAGGCAATAACAATTACAATTCCTTTAGGGAAAGGGAAAGGAAAATCATTTATTAAGAGGAAAGAAATTGAAAAATGGCAAAAAAGGTGGAATGAAGATAAAAAAGGAAGAAGATTATAGAAAGTACAAAAGTCAGTATTAAATAGAAATATTAATGAGAGAAACCGAAAGGAAGAAATAATAATGATCAGATTAAGAGTAGGTCATACTTATTTAAATGACAATTTATATTTAATAGGGAGGAAAAATAATGATAAATGTGAAGGATGTGGAGAGATAGAAAATGTAGAACACGTATTGATGAACTGTAAAACATATCAACCTGAAAGGGAGAAATTGAGAAGAATTGAAAGGACAGGTCAAGAATAGAGTCTTAAAGGATTATTGGGAACTAAAGAATATAAAGGATATTTATAGATTAAGGAAAGCATTATTTATTTATCTTCAGAATACAAAATTTAAAAATAGAATTTAATAGATGTAAAACAATGTTGCTACACACTCATGAACAGTAGGTGGCGGTATGCGCCTTAAAGTTGCTTGCGATCCACCATGATAGAAAAGAAGAAGAAAAAGACCGGGTGAACCGGAAATGCTTCTGAGCGACACTTCCGCCTCAGTTAGTAGGAGCTGAGTAACAGCGGCGGTGTTTCCTGCTGTGAGGTGAGATATTCGCTGAAATCTTGATGCTTTTATCAGCTCTCTGGTTTCCATCAATCGTTGTTATCGTGGCTGTCATTCCGGATACTTGAACATGTAGGTTTTCTTCTACAGTTGTTTCACGGCTACTTGCGCAACTTATCCAGGCTGCTCAGATTTAGGTTTTACTGAAACCATAACGATTTTAGGAAAACTGATCTTTAATTTGGTTTTACAGTCTTTAAAAACAGGTGTGACCAGTGATCTGAAGCAGCCATAGTGCAGCCAGTCCCTACACATGCATCCAAAATAAACGTTTGTGTTCACATTATGTATATGTGTGATCATTTTGTATGTAACATACTTTTGTATTTATTTAAGAAGAATTAGTTATTTGAATTTAAAATCTTTACATTTATATACAGTATACACTAAGTATATGTACTGCATATACTTTTTTAATGAATTTATTCATTTATTAAAAATGATCATACACTCAGATATGGAAACACAAACTTTTGATTTGGGCGCGATTAATAGTTTGACAGCCCTAATTTATATCTATAAAATGTTGCTATTCTGTAGACTGAGTTTTAGTTGGGCAAATATTGATTTAACATACACACCTTGTGTGTGTGTTCATTCATCTGTCTGTTTTATTTATTGTTGTTTTCGTATAAAAATCAAGTTATAGTTATTCACAATATTTAGTATCCTATTTGAAAATGTTTAAAACATAAAATAAAGATAGTTGGAGTTATTTAAAAAGTGCATGCTTAATTAAAATACAATGATACGATTAGATGAGCTGTCTGTACCAAGATGGCCGCCAGGTGCTGCCCTCTGTGGTTGGCTGTGGGCTGACAGAATAAAATCAGCTGCTTTAATGAGTTAACATGCTGGTTACGGTGACTGTAACTCAGGACGCCACACGCCGCTGATGTCACGGCGTGGGACTTCAGCTACAGTTAGCTGCTAGCATGTAGCTTGTATCTGTCAGGCAGAAAACTGTGGACAATGTGACCAGCAGCCTTTCAGCTGGTCAGACCTCAGCCAATCAGAGGAGAGCTACAGGGAAACAGGAAACTAGTCAGAACCAGCAGCTGATTAGATGATCGCTCCAGTCTATTTCTGCTTGGATGTTTATCTAAACCGCCCAGATGCTTCAGAGTCTGATAACGGTCTGATTTCAGCCTGAAGATGAGCCGCAGAGGAGCAGCTGAGAGGGAGGACGACGAGGAGGACTTCTACGACTGCGAGGAGAGCCTGGAGGCTCCAAACACCACAGATAAAGAGGAGCAGGGGAAGAAGAGCGGGGAGAACAGCCAGAAGGACCCTTCATGTTTAGAGGAGACCGACCCAACAGACCCAGAGGAAAAAACAGACAAGGAAGACACAGAGAGAGAGCATGAAGAGGACGAAGAAGATTTCCAAGACGATTCAGACTCTGAGCTGAAAGAACAGGAGCTGTCTAGAGAGGGGGAGTTTGATGACGAACTGAGGGAGGCGGAGAAGGAGCTGACAGAGGAGGAGAAGGAGGTGATGCCTTTTATTCCTCTCTATGCCACTTTGCCCCACTTTTTCACAGTTTAAACCAGCCTACACCAGTATATGCCAGACTACACCAGTATAGACCAATCTGCCGCCAGTATAGAGGGGTCTGCCGCCACTATAGACGGGACTGCCGCCACTGTAGACGGGTCTGCCGCCACTGTAGACGGGTCTGCCGCCACTGTAGACGGGTCTGCCACCTTTGTAGACGGGTCTGCCGCCACTGTAGACGGGTCTGCCACCTTTGTAGAC